TGGGTTTTTCCTGGCATTGGGGAATTTCAGGTACCACTGATTTAAGTTACTTCTGACAACAAATTATGAACGATAAATTTCATCAGTAAGCATACGGTCTTCTCTAATGCATGTTACCTCATATTTAACTGCAGTGCTATGATAAATATCTCAAAGCAGAATTCAAAGAGGCAGCAAAAAATGCAGGCCACCCTGAATGGGAATTGCCAGATGATGCTGGGACATACAATGACAAACCTGACTCAACAGAGTTCTTTAAACAAAATGGAACATACCTTACTGAAAAGGGAAAGTTCTTTTTAACTTGGTATTCCAACAAGTTGCTGATGCATGGAGATGATATCCTCGATGAAGCCAATAAAGCTTTTGTGGGATGTAAAGTCAAATTAGCAGCTAAAGTATATTTCGTAACCTTGTTTCTTTTCTTAACTAATGAAGGAAGAAAAAGAATAATAAAGCCACGTTCTATTTTCAAAACAAAACAGGTATCTGGACTGCATTGGTGGTATAAACATCATAGTCATGCTGCGGAGCTCACTGCAGGATACTACAACCTGAAAGACAGAGATGGGTACCGGCCAGCAGCAAGGATTCTATTGAGGCATCATGCTATTATGAATTTCACATGTCTTGAGATGAGGGACTCAGAACAATCAGCAGAAGCTAAAAGTGGACCTCAGGAACTAGTTCAGCAGGCAAGATCTCTAAATCACAGTCCCTACTTGGACTGGTTAAGATGCCTGTCATTCATTTCTGACAACCTCTTAGAATACCATTGTTAACAACCCTGGTGAATATGATGTCAATTTAAGAATGACAAGTAGATAAGGGTGCACATTTTCGTACTGTATTCATGATTAGTTGATAATTTTCCTACGCATGTGCAGGTCCTCAGTGGAGCATGGAGAGAGAAGATTGAAGTTGCAGGTGAGAACGCACTTTCAAGATACGATGCTGAAGCTTACAATCAGATCCTTTTAAATGCCAGGCCTAATGGTGTCAACAAGTGGGGTCCTCCTAAACTGAGGATGTTTGGGGTGACATACCTTCGGTTATATGATGAACTCTTTGAAGAAAAGAATTTCAACCTGTTCAAGACATTCGTCAGGAAAATGCATGCTGATCAAGTAAGCAGTGCCTACACAAATACATAGGAAGGGAAAGAAAGAAAAGTGCTTAGTAATGAAGTCTTTAAAAGTCCTCGTTTAATCCCAAACTTCATATTTGTTTTCAGGATTACTGCCCAGACCCCAGCAAATATGGCCATGAAATTGGCCCGCTGGAACGATCAAACCCACAGATTCCGATTGACGATATCATAGATGCAACGAAGCCGCTGAAGCCATTCCCATGGAATAAACAAACAGATATGCCGGTTGATGGAGCTGGACAATTTGGTCTGCTTGGTGGTCTGATAAACAGGATCAAATCCATTTTCTTCAAGTGAAATCATGTTAAAATGCAGAGAGAATAATGAGAGTGAAGGAATCAAACTAACATTCAATGTTAATGAGGATTCCTTCTAGGGCTATGAGTGAGTTTTCAATGTATCTGCTGTTCGAATAAATAATACACATTAATTATCTATATATGGCTCACATTATGCAAGTTTACTCACCAATAAATACTGCAGTAACAAAATTCATCTTCAAAGCGGTGGAACCTGCACACATCCTGCATAATAAAACAATTGGTTAACACGAGAGCTTGGAGATCGGTTCTATTACAGAGTGGCTACTCTTACCTTCCCGAAGGTTTCTAGTGATGAACAGGCCAATTTCTTATAATGCTCTCAAAAGCATCTTCATCTTTACTTCTTCAACATTGTCTGACACTGAACTTGTCTTGGGCTTGAATCCTGCCTTCTTAGCTGCTGTGAAGTCGTCTTGATTAGCACGCTTGTCTCCTCCCCATTAATTTTATTTATGCCAACTGAGAACCAGTAAATTCTCTTCTCTTACTCAACAAAAACTGCAGCCTGGTGGTCTTACTAGTCCCTTCTCTCTTGCCTTTGCCCTCACCCTTTCTGCATCGTCCCATCTTTTCTCAGAAGCATGCATGGTGGATTAGCCAAATTAGCTACCCAACCGGGTGAAATTCATACCAAAAAGATTTTCCACTGAAATCTCAGCTAGCTCCACATTCTGATGTAGTTAGCAAGCAGCCCATACATCACTGATGGGAGCGACTTCCATGTTCATGATAAGTGTGCGTGCCTCCTCCTCCAGGTGCCCTGCTCATCCAAGAAGATCCGCCAAGCATGAATTTCTTGTCATTCTGTGGAAAATTTCTTTACCCATAAAAGTTGTATTGAAATTGTGGCATGTTTAAATCTAACATGTTAAATTATTTTTAATATAATATATCATTGACTCGTCAAATTAACTAAATAATCCATAAATTTATCCAATAATTCAGATTATTTTCGAGCCGATTTTTAAATGGGCCTGATAGCAATGCTATCCTCCACTTTTGATTGAATAAAGAGGATTCAAGCTTAACAATTTTTTAAGAAAAAGCCCAGCATAAACAGAGTACATTTTTAAGCAGAAAAGGGGCTAAAGCCCAGACCAATTACAAGGAAGAAGGCTTGTCGCGATGCCCTAGACCCATTTCCCGTCTTGGTCTAAATCCATCTACAGCAATAAACGACATGTCCCTGAAAAGAGTAGGGACGACGTATCATTCATCCAGACTAGGTTAGAGGCATTCACCAAATTAGAGATAACCTTTCATTACCAAGAAAAGGGGAAAAACTACAATAGAAAATGAGGGAAGAAAAAGAAAGAAAATAGAACAAATAAAGTGCTCGAGGAAAGGGGAAAAAATAAATATGGGCAAATCTTTTAAATTCAAGTTGAGTTTTCAAACTCATAATCTATTAAATTTTAAATTAGGTCTCAATAAAAAATCTCAACACCTGACCAATTTAATATTCAAGGATAAAATAAATTAATTTAATTTAATAAAAAATTACTTTTTAAAAAAGCTAAATTTAACAAAGACCCCAAAAACCCAAGGCAACCTGTGTTATTTTTAAAATGACTAAAAATTTTATAGAAAAAAATAAAAATAAAAATATGCTTGAGGATGAAACTAAGCATTAAAAAAAACCCAAAAATAAAAATATGCTTGAGGATGAAACTGAAAAAAATAAGCATTAAAAAAAACCTAAGTAAATAGGGTGAACCTAGTAAACTCAAGTTCATCTCTTAAACATGCAATCCATTAAATTATATACTATAATTAAACCAATAAGCTAAACATCTCTCCAATTAAAAATTGAAGAACAAAATCATTAAAAAAATTCAAAGTAAAAAAATAGCAATAAATAATAAGGATCAAGTTTTATAGAAAAAGAAACTTAATGAGGATGAAATTGTATAAAAAAAACAATTAAAAGAACAAAAATCAAAATCTAATAAGTGGAAAAAAACTATCGATGATGAAATTAAAAAATATTTTTAATTTTATAAATTATTTCAAATAAATAATAAAAAAATCATAACCAAATTTTAAAGAAAAAATCATTGAATGATTGCTTTGAAACTGTAAAAGGCTAATATTAAAATAGAGAGAAGAGAAAGATTTTATAAATTATTTTAAATAAATAATAAAAAAACCATAACTAATTTTTTTAAAAAAAATCATTCAATGATTGCTTTGAAACTTTAAAAGGCTAATATTAAAATAGAGAGAAAAGAAAAAAGAAAAGTCACATTAACCAAATTAAAAATAATTAAATCACGCATGCTATCTAGGCATGGAGAGTATGTCAAGACACATATGTCTCCATCTTGAAAATAAGCTTTCGACCATCAAATGATGTCACACATGTTGTTTAAAACCTATAACCATTATATATTTGTCCTCAAGTTTTCAAGTTTTTTTAGTATAATTTTTTTATTTAACAATTACCCTGTCATCCATAAAGGTTTCGACCATCAAATGATGTCACACATGTTATTTAAAACCTATAACCACTATATATTTGTCTTCAAGTTTTTTTAGTATAATTTTTTTTTTTAATAATTACCCTGTCATCCATAAAGAAACCTAAGAGTAACATAATAATCAAATTTAAAATACTAAAACACCCCTAAATTGAAGGGAAAGTTTTTTTTAATTCAATACTAAAACACCCCTAAATTGAAGGGAATTTTTTTTTTTTTAATTTGGATAACAAAGAAATATAACCTTGTTTGAATTAAGTAAAACCATAAAACCCTTTAATGCTAATTTCTAGTTTTTTTTTTTCAGCCAAGGTAAAATTTATAATTTTATTGTGTCTAAAACAAAGTAAAATAAAAAACTAATATGCCCAAATAAATTTGGTAATGGCCATTAGGTCCCATTAAAATGATGATAATACCCTCATTAGCCAGGCCATTGATTTTTTAAATGAGCTAAGGCCACAACGATAAATATGTTGTTTCAATCAATAGTAATTTATGCATTACACGACAATGTTTTCACAACTGCTATTAGTTCTTTCTTTTTAATAATTAATTCACGTATCTTACAAGTAGACATAGAATATATCAAAAAGTTGGGTCTTGATATTATAATATAAACACGGGAATTTTTAATAATGGCATAGATATAAGAGCTAAATTTAAGGTTGACTTGGCATAAACATCTAATCACAGGTTGTATGAATTGAATTGTAAGTTTCAAGTTATAATTGTTTTCTATTATTATTAAATATTCATTGAAATACTGTAATTTTAGTGTTTTTTTTTTTTTAAAAATAAACACCATAAAACAATGTTGTCTTAATCCAAAACATGATCTAGCACAAAATAAACGAGTTGTGGATCACCCAATTGACCTGATGAGCCTTGAACATGTTCTATAACTATGAATGATAGGTGAGTCCGTGACCCTACTGGATCGCGAGTTATGATTTGGTCAGGAACATACGTAAACTGCCTAATTGCATGATGAACATCCTTAAAAAAACGTTTAATACATCCTTAAAAAAAAGGGATGATCATGTCTGCTCAAGGCATCTCCCGGCATGATGAACATGAGAGATGTTCCATCGATTAGCTAGGGTGACGATAAGATAATAAAATGCAATGTGCACTAAAAGAAATTTTACAGCTTTTCAAACTAAGAAACCTTCTTTATATCATGAAAGGTAAGAGTAATGGGACCCTGAAAAAAGAGAAGCCTAAGCATGGCCTCCATGCTTTTCTTCACTAACAGCAGCAGTAGCAGAAACGTAATACGCAACGCAAAAAAGCCCATGGACAAAGCACAGAATGCCTCCAATCGAAAAGAAATGATGATGTGTGAAACCACAAGAGGCTCTTGACTTGTTGTTTGACATTGTGCCAATCACTAGCATGGATAATCCAACAGCCAGTATGATCCTGCCCAGATAATTAGACGTAGAAACTTCATTGCTTAATCACTAATACTGAACAAATCCACTAATTATAGTTGATCTCAGAGAAGCTGATTAGTTCAAGCAACACAATCAAGACGTAATTAGCTTGGAATCAAATGCAACTTCACTTACCAGGTAAAGAGGAAGCATGCCACAGACAGTTGTCTATTAGGAGATGCTCTTTGGAGCTCTTCTTGAGAACAAATGCACATGCACCCACCAAACAAGTTAGCAATAACATGGGCTAGTCCTAGAACTACTGCTGCAGCTAACCCTAGCTTGAATGCATCCTGGCTTGGATCTCTACACTCAAATATCCAAAGCCTCAAGTGCTTAGCCTGTACTAACAAAAATGAAATGGCAATTATGAGTCATATATATGTATATATGTGTATGGCTACTATAAGATATAAAGATAACTAATATATCAAAAAAAAAAACATGTTATGGGTTGGATTAACATGCCTTGTTTTGTGCAATATCAGCTTGGATGCCAAGAATACCAGCTACTACATCCATGGCAACAATCAACATACAAACAAGTACACCTCCTAGTTTAACCATTTTTTCTCAAAAAGGAGGGAAAATGGAGCACACTCTCTAAATATATCTTGTTGAGGCTAAGATTTAGATGATGATAAACAGGATATGAACAAAGTCTAAGAGAGAATATATAAAGAGTGGTAAAGGGAGAAGAAAATGTGATAACTGGGACAAGTTAGCAAAAGCTTCGACTTTTGTCCCAACAGTGGAAACTTTATCTTGTGTCTACTTTCTCCTCCTTTTCTCTCTCCTTGGATTCTTTTGATGGGGGAGCAAGAAAAGAAGGGTATAAACCAGCTCATAGAGGAGCGTGCCTAGGCATCTAGCAAGCAAGCTAACAATGGCCGAGCGATCTTTGTGATTTCTGACTTTACAAGTACTTCTGTATTTGTGTAGATAGGCAAGAAGGGAACAATTGCTAACTTTTTACTTGAAATAATTGCCACCATTATCTCCTTACGTGTGATTTAAATAGGTTGATTAAAGTAGTTTCAGATCAAGCCTTGCATATATATATATATATATATATATATATATATGCTTGAGGTAAAATTAATGAGTATGCTTCCCAAAGTTATCATCTAATTGTGTTTCAATCTAAAATAAATTTATCAGATTTTTTTTTCTTTTCAATATATCAGTTTAGATGTGTAAACAACATGTCTTTAAATTTATATCTCAAATTAAAAACAAGCTTTTTTTAATTTAAATCCTAACATTGAATCTTGAGAAAAAAATTAGTTGTTTTGAAAAATAAACTCTAAATTAAATTCCAAATATTATAAACAATTATTTGGTTTTTCGCAACTAAATGACTCTAATAGTAATTGTTAAATCCAATTTAATTAGCTCCAAAAAATTTGAGAATTTAAATTTGATATAAAATAAAATATTGACCTAATTTGATTTAGTTAGATTTTCAATAACTCGATTAATTCAAATTCAAACTATATTAAGAGATTTTTTTTTATAATTTCAATAACTCGATTAATTCAAATTCAAATTATATTAAGAGATTTTTTTTTTATAAGAAGAATAAAACAATATTATTTTAATAAAATAATTAATGTGTGATTCATTGATTGATTTTTTTATCGAGTTAGTTTCCTTATAACTAGTCTGAAAAACCATGGTTGTACTTCTACCTCCAATCATATTTGTTCATGATCTGTTAAGAAGAATAACGAGATTGATGAACTGTTACATGGTGTCATCCTCAATATTCTTTACTTCTTGAAGAGATGTCCAAGAGAGGGAGGAAGCAACATTCCTGAAAGAAATGGGTGCGTCTTTCAAGCTCCAACAGAGGGCCTGGGAGGGGGGCCTAGTGTTAGAGAAAAGGTGCATGAAAAGACTACAAGTTAAGGCTCAAAACGGTGGATCTTCATCCTCTATTCCATTGTCAAACATAGTCTCTGTGACTATCTGCAACTTTAATGACTAATCAGCAAAAAGGACCCCATTTTCTACCTCAATCCCAAAAACAACCAGGTGTAAAATCCTTCTTTTTGACTCTAGAAGCTGCGTGATTTAAAATCAATGTTGCCATGATAAGCGTCCTGTATTCCATAATTTAAGGGGGACACGCCTAAGTTCTTGGATTTTCTGCAACTTTTGGATTCCATGGGGTGGATTTGCCCTTCATTTTATATGAACCAGGTAGGAAGGCCATAGCAGACATGGGCACCTTAGAAGATTGCAGCTAGTTGCTCCTATGCAGGCCAGTAGCCCATCCTTTACAATTTGTTCTGATTTCTGCTCTACACTGCTAGTGCCTCTGAACTCTTCAAGTTTTTGGTTAAAAGACACTGAGATGTCATGCATTAGCTTGGTTAATCGATATACGTCATGGTTTTATACAAAACTCACCGAAAATTCTTTTTAAACTTTAAATTAAAAAATAAAACTATAAACTACCGTGATATCAAACAAACCTGTATAATATACACATATAATACAAGTTTCAAAAAAATTTAAAAACTTTTGATTAAGTTGTGTTTTAAAGATAGATGATATTAGTATCAATAAAATTATTTTTTAAAATATTTTTTGTTTAAGAATGTATTAAAATAATATTTTATTATTATTATTTTAAAATATTTTTAATATTAATTCATCTAAATAATTTAAAAATATAAAAATAATATTGATTTTAAATAAAAACATAATAATTTTTTATAAAACGATGTTTGGATAATGTTCCCAAACACTAGCGTTGCATAATATTTATCTATAACCTTTTACGAAGATATTTTAATAAGAAACCTCATCAAACACACAGATTTCAGATCACAGGACAATATCATCATCATAAATAAATAAATAACGTTGTGTTTTAGACTCTTAACACAAGAAACACCAAAAAGCACATTGAAGTAATCTGTTTCTCAGTCAAGAAATTAAAGGAAAAGACAGGAAATACCATGAATCAATTCCTTGTTAAAACTTGTAAATATATATGTATTCATCATCTCGTTTCTATTAATTTCAAGTCCTATAAAGAACAAAACTTGGAAGTAAACAAAGTTAAAACCTATCATTATGCCCTAAAATGCTTTAGATTAGAAGATAATTAGAAGTCTATAAACGTTCCCTTCTTCCCCAAGCAACACGAAAATCATAAACTTGAATTTGAAAACCCACCATTCAGATCAAAAACCCACAAAGTTTTGATCCACATTTGCCTTCAGAACCATCTCCATAATCTGCTCCCTACTGACCACACCCTCCCCATAACCACCACCCCCATCATTAGCACCATGAACGAAGTTATTATAATGATCGAAAGAAGTGGCAGGCCTCGACTGTACTAAAGCTATAATCTGTTCTTGCAAGTTCATGATGTACCTACAGGCCTCTTCAAGTACGGTCGCAGTGTCCATCTTTGTAGTAATCCAAGGCATCACCTTTCTTAAACATTTCACCCTCTCAGCGATTCTCTGTTTCGCTAGAACCGATGCTGACGAAGAAGTCGACCCAGTACCATAGTCAAAAGCAGACCGCTTGGGTTTCTTCATCTGGCCCAACCGTTTCGGTTTCTTTGTAACAGCATTGAACTTTCCAAGAACCGACTCCAGAGTCTGTGAGTCATTCACCGAAGAGAAAAGGTCATGCGGCTGGGTTGACTCCACTGGCTGCGACGGGATGGAAGAGAAGAAGTCATAAGGTTGAGCTGAATCGTGAGGTGAACTGAGTTGAGGGGCCACGACGAAAGAGTTGCCAAGACCGAGTTGTTCAGAGGCGGGAGGGGTGTAATAGTAGTAATTATCACCATCTTCGTGCAATAAGTTAGTGAAGTTTGATGTCGTCGTGCTCAGAGGAGGAGGCATTGAAGTTAACAGGTCGTTGCTGCTGTAGTAGTAACTGAGAAGTGACGGAGCTAACATGCCCGCGTCAGAGAAAACAGAGTTGAACATCGGTGTTGCAGTGGCCGGAGTTCCAACGTCAGAGAAAACAGAGGAGTTAAAGGTGGAGGCACGGTCGGCATGATCATGTCCGGAGATTAATGGGAATAACTGGATTGCTGGATCTCCATTGAAGACAAAGTCCGAATCAAAATCTTCGATATCCATTTCCGTAACCTCAACAAATGTGTTGCCAAGAGAAAACAACAACCAGACCCAAAGAGAAAAGGAGAGGCACCGCAACAAAAGAAGGATGTTGCTGTTGCTGTTTCTCTATGTGGGGGGTCACGTGTAGGATGATAATAAGTAGTTCGATCGTATACAGCAAGGCAGGTGACACTGGAATCAGGGATGATGCTATTGGAGGTCAGTACAGTAGGGTGTCAGGATACAGAGTACTGTAGGAATTAGCTGGCAGGGCATGACAGTACGGGGGTTTTAATTTGTTCTCTGCACAAAACGGTGGGATCGCCGTGGTACCTCAGATGGGCAGGAATGAGATGGTACAAGGGTAACGGCATGGAATTAGTCTTCAGAGTGCCTTGTGCTTTTTTTGGACGTCTGGTAGAGGGTGGATGATGGGAACACCGGAATCCAAGTATTATTGATGCACGTCAATGATTATAGATAATAAACATAGCTCAAATAATTAAAAGTTTAGATTTTAATTTATATTTTAAGTTTAATTTATATAAACTGTTAGTTAAATTTTATTTATTTTATTTTATTTATTTGATTTGATTTAATTATTGTTAGGTATTTTATTCAGTGAGCTATAAACCTAATAGTTTATTCTAATTAGGATTTTAGTATAAATACTTTACTTTTTTAAATGTTAAGAGATTTTTGATAATTAATAAAAAAATTATAAACTTTATGTATCTTTAATATTTTTTTTTTCAATTTCTTTTTTAAAAGCTTTTTTTTTTAGTTTTAATTCTTTTATTTGTTGTTAAAAAATTTATAGACTTTACATATCTTTAATATATTTTTTTTTCAATTTCTTTTTTAAAAGTTTTTTTTTTTAGTTTTAATTTTTTTGTTTGTTGTTCCACATCAAATTTGATATCAAAACTAAGTTTTTAATTGTTTTTATAATTAAATAATTTATATACTTATGCTAAATCGTAAATTTAGTTTAATTTAAAAAAAATATTATTCACTATTCAAAAAAATCTCCTGTTGTTGTGATTGAAAAAAAAATATTGTTCTGAAAAAAAAAAAAGAAGAGAAACACTATTTATTTTCTCCACTAGCAAGCAGCAGACGCAATCAACATTGGTCTTTGTTCATCACACAATTTAACTTGACAGATCCCCGTAGAAGACAACAGCCAATCATCTCTTTCAATTTACGCATCCACACCAGCAAATTCTCCAGCATACACCAATTGCAGAGTACGTTACCCTCACCAGAGAGCAGATGGCTTCTCCTAACAGCCACCAAGATCCACAACAGTTCTTACATGGCAGTCCAGCACCTTTGTCTTTTCATCTGCATCGGGTCATCGGGATTAATTCATTGATTTAGTTCTAGGAGTAAATCTGTGTGGAGACAGCAGCAAGAGCAACAATGAAACAAGGAATTCACTGTAGGCTTTCAAGGCAAATTAATTAACCTCTTCCACGTCAGCCCATTGCTGCTAAATCAGTCAGTGAAGCCACATCATCTCCACAACAACTAGACGAAGGAAACTAGGAGACCAAAGAAAACTCTCGATGCAAAATTAATTAGCCCTGCCATGTCATCACCCATGCCACCGCTGCCACGCCAAACATGATCATCCACGCCACGTAAGCAAACTGGTTATATCATCTGCTATGTCAGCAATCAATTCATCTAGTTTGCCATGTCAGCTCCAGCAAATTCCAGCTTCCTCACAACACTCTAGTTAGTGAATCACTCTCCCATATTTGTTGAAATATTTGTTGAAGATTACTTTTCTTGGTTTTTCACTTGTTATTTAAGTTATTATTAAAAATCTCACCTATCATTTTTAATTGTTAATTTTTATTCATCAACCTCTTTCATCAGTGATAGTTAATATCTTATTCTATTTTATAATTATGAATTCTTGCTTATGACATCGTGTTTGATTAATTATTTACACATAAGAATCTAGTATTACTTGCTTATAATTTTATTAGTGTAATTTGTTCTTGATCAATCTCCACATTTAAGAAAAAAATACAAAAAAAATTTAAAAAATTAGCTTTATTTATATCTTGATCAATCTCCACATTTAAGAAAAAAGTACAAATTTTTTTTAAAAAATTAGCTTTATTTTTATATTGTGAGTTCACTTGCAAGAACTATTTGTGATCTCAATTTCATTTCCAAGTGAGTGTTGCATGCTTCTATGTCATGTTCATCTAGTGTCCAAATTTAAATTTCCACTTACCGTAGACTCAATTCTTAGTCATATTCTTATGACCATTTAAAGAGCATTGCAAACTTAGGTGATCAACATGTTTAGAAGAATTAAGACCCAAGAGAGTTTTCGAATAAGGCAATCAAAGACTAATAAATATCACAAAAATAATCATTATGGATAAGTTCACTCTAGGCACCACCAATATGACTATCATTTAAGTTACTCTAAACACGATGACTTTGATGAGCGAGTCTGGAGTCTTAACAAAATAGAAGCCCTCACTTTTGATGGTCATTATGATTCTTGGATATTTGATATGTGGATTTGTGATGTGGATAGATTCTTTGAGTTATATAACTTATCTAATAATAGGAAAGTTAGATTTGCTAAGATGAAACTCATTGATGAAGCCAAAACTTATTGGAGAGATGTTGAGGATTGTTTAGAGATGAGAGGTAAATCTCATATAACTGATTGGATCAAAATGAAATAAAAACTTCAGGAGAAGTACCTACCCTAGTCTTATAAGAATAAACTCTTAAACCAATGGAACAATCTAAGACAAGGGAATAAGTCTATCAATGAGTATATAACGTAGTTTAACGATTACATGATTAGATGTGCCATAAGAGAGAATGAAGTCATGACTTTGTGTAGATTTTGTAAAGGCTTAAATAATGATCTTAGAAAAGAAGTTGAATTTCAAGGTATATCTACCCTTAACCAAGTTTACACCTTAGTTCAAGATTATAAGTTGGTCACAAAGAATCAGTAGATGAATCATCAGGGCTCTTATAGTATCCCTGTTAGGTCCCAATTCGGAAGTAATGATTCTTTGTTAGGTGCTCCACCCCACAGACCTAATCCTAGTGGCGCCCAACTTTGTAAGAAAGACAAGGGCAAACGAATTGTCAATGAAGTGTCTAAGGTGAATTCAAAGGATAAGTGTACTAATTGTTTAGGTTTTGGTCATATCTCTTTATATTGCACCTCTAAACCTTTAGTCATCCAAAAACATAAGGATATGGGTAAAGAGGAATATTATAGTGTTGAAGTGTATGAGCCTAATCTTGAGAATTTTAGTGACCTAGATGATGAGGATGTGCAAGAAGAGGGACCCAACACAATGAGTCCACATGAGTTTGAGAATGAGGTTAAGAAAGAGTCTGATATGTCTGTTTTAATGGTAAAGAAAGTTTTAGAGAACTCTTCAATGGAATCACCTATAGAGATAAGTATGGTTTTAGAAAAGTCTCATAATAATAGTCTTCCTAAATTACTTGATTCCTCACCCCACAGGCTTGGTGCCAGCACATCATAAGTTTAGAGCAACATGTTAAACTTTTTGACCCCTTACCATGGTAAAGGAAGTTTTAGAGAACTCTTCAATGGAACTTTTTGACCCCTTACCTCATACACGTGATGAGGAAGATAAAGATAATCTTAGTTTACTTGATTGTGTCCATATCATATCTACACAGGTTTCAAACAATGTTTGTCTTATTTCACACCCTCAATCATTTAATATTCATAGTTACAAACCTGAGAAACCTATAGAACACCTTCCTATATCTCCTCACAATAAGATGTCTAAGTCAGCTAAGTCATTACCATATAGGGTTCATAATTTGCATATTGAGATCATGAAACAAATTCAAGCAAGTAATGAACAATACAAATTTCGAGTTGATTTACTTAAGTATCATGATGCACTTAATGTTAGAAATTATTTCATAATACAAATTAGACCTAAACAGTGTTCTTTGGAAACCGATCATAAATTGCATGTAAGTAGTGCTAGACCATTCAAAGTGTTGCAAATTATTAAATCAAATAATTATGTCATTAAATTGCTATTAAACTTTGATATTAACTCTACTTTTAACATGAAAGACCTCAGTGTTTATAAAATACAGTCTATCCCTGATGCTCCTTTTGATACCCCTACCTTATTATCCATATCTTTAGCACAAAAGGAACATATTAATGCTACTTTGAATGTACAAGTTGTTTTTACCAAGGATAGTGAACTTCAACAAATCCTAGTATATGAGCTCAATGACCAGATTCAGATTATACTTGGATTATCAAAGAGACATCACAACAGTTTGATCTTTATCTTTGAGAGCATTATTGGAGTCGCCTTAGCCTATACTCAACGGGGTCGAGTTCTTCCAACCCCGGGAGAATTGATGGCGACACCAAACCCGAAATATTATTTATACACGCGAATGATCATAAACGATGGAGGATAGTCCAATCAATTGAAAAATCGAGCTTTGACTTATATTTTGGATTTAATTTATATAAATTTTTAGTTAAGTTTTATTAATTTAACTTTATTTATTAGGTTTGATTTAATTATTATTGAATATTTTATTTAATGGGCTATAACCCAATTATTTATTCTAGTTAGGGTTTTAATATAAATACTCTACTTTTCTAAATGTGAAGAGACTTTTGATAATTAATAAAAAATTTATAGATTTTACACATCTCCGGTCTTCTTTCCTTTTTTTTCTTTACTTTCTCTTTTCAGCTTCTTCTCTAGAAACTTCTTTCTTTTCCCTGTTTTAATTTTTTTTTGTTGATCCGCATCAGTGCAACCAGGTAAGTGAGAAACCTAGCTGCTCTTGCCTTTGCCATGAGCGATCCAGGTTGGACAAACTCCGGATGGTGAGAAACCTAGCTGCTCTTGCCTTTTCCATGAGCGATCCAGGTTCTATAAACTCCACCGTGTTTGACCTTGAAACCACAGAGATTTTACCAATACGCAAAACAATTTTTAGGAGCT